TGTCATTCCTAGTGGTTTGAACAATGCTCAGTTAGTACTAAGTGGGCCAAAGCATGCCAGTAAATACCATTACACCAACACCACCAGCCTCAACTGTTGATATAAGGCAGGATAGATGCATTCTTTATCCCACTGTTTTGCTATATTCTGACACCACCATCAGAAATTGAGACTAATCAGACCAGGCAACATTATTCAACACGTTGTCCAGTTGTGGTGAGCTTCTGCAAACTGAAGCCTCAGGTTCCTGTTGTTAGCTGACAGGAACACTAGGACCAGCCCACCAAGCACCAATATTTGAGCCACAACCAAAGTCCCCTTTTAAGTCACCTATTTCCCCGATTCTGATGCTCAGTTTGAACTTCAGCAGCTTGTGTTGACTATGTGTACAAGCCTAAACGCATTTAGTCGGTGCTACGCAATTGGATGATAAGATAACTGCTTGATAACAAGCAGTTGGACAGGTGTACCTAATAAAATGGCCGACTCGTGTTAGTCTCTCAGTGACATTCACTCATCCATCTGACATGTCAATCAGCCTATTGGTCTATTCTTAAAACTGGGCACATTTGCCGACCACTCCTAATGTCAAGAGAAAGAGCTTTATTGATTGGATGATTAGACCTGGTGTAGCGAGAGGAGTCTTATCACATTAAAGTGCCCCGTCAGCAAAAATGGTTTTAGTGTGTATAAGTGTTCTCTACTGCAAATATGTGAATATCAGCCTTTATTTACCTTCCTTCACAATCAATTAAATACTGTATGAAGCCTTTATGACTTAAAATCTGTCTTCCTTTGCTGTGAATGACCTGCACCTGTGCATAAACACTACATGTATGGAGCAATTGTTGGCTATCCACTGTTTTTTTGCATCCCTGTTCCAATGTTGTGATCTGTATATTAATGTTGTAAAACATTTATTCGGTAAATAAAGTACAATTCATTTTGAGTGAAGAAAAACAGTGTTATTCATAGACACAGAGATTGCCAGGAGCAAAAAGTCAAAGGAGGGGGGGTTCAAGGAAAAAGGGAATATGACAGAGATGAGAAGCTAACCAGAGTAAATCTGCTGGCTGTTCTTCTGTAGCTAGAAAACCCATTGACCTGAGTGTGAAATCAAAACAACACACACACGCATGCATGCATGCACATATTTGTCATAAACAAATTACTGACAAACCTGAGCACACATACACCCAGAATGCATATGTAACTAGTGCACACATAAATAGCATTTACTCACACAACCCCAAAGGTGCCTTATTTAAATCCTTGCCAACACACGCGAAGCTACTCACAAAACAGGAAAAAGCTTTACCCTCGCAGTGACGCATGGAAGCGTGTGTTTGTGCTAAGATATGTCTTACCAGCAAACACCAGTGTGCTGAGTTGCATGAGCATCTCTTACAGAATGTGTGTGCATGACTGCATGTGCAAGCATGAGCGTGTGCACCCATGTGTACACACAGTTCCGCTCGGTCTCTGTGTGTGCGTATTTGCGTGTGTGTGTGTGTGAGAGACATTTTTCTGTTCAGGGATTACCATGTTGCCATGGTGATTAGTTAGAGTGAGGTAGTGCTGTCCCTACAGGGAATGATGAGAGGGAGGAGAGAGGAAGAGGGAGGAGAGACAGGCTGCAATATATATAAGAAAGCTATGAATAATTGTAGCCATAGTAGCATCGAAGGTCCCCCACAGAACAGACTGCCTGGTTTGTGAATGGAAAGCTGCAACATGTAACGTCGCAGAAGTTAAAAACTAATTAACTCCATTTACTGCTAGCTCATAAATAAAATTTATTGATTGTGTGACACCTCATTAACCGGCCAAAGTCTGTGGTCTGCTCTAAAACAAAACATCTAGCACTCGCTGATACTTCAGCAACTCAGATGCTCAGTTTTGCACAGGCTTTATTTAACCTAGACATTCCGGTTCAAGGGCTGTCCCTAATCTTGGCTATCCTGCTACCCAGTGTGTCACAAATGGCAATGTTACACAACAGACAGCACTAACTATTTTGCCCTTCCTGCCATCCATGTGATCTGTCGTGGTTAGTCCTGTATGTCCTCTTAATTAAATCACAGAGCGGGTCAAAATATACAAGAGGCCTGGGGTGCTGGATGCAGGATTCTGGGGAGTCTGTTTTGGGGAAAGTTGTTTCTGGTATTCATCCAGCTTAACATCTTAGATGCTTGTTTGCCTTTTGTTGGCCTTTAATATCATTGGTACCCAGTGAAAAGCATATGTGCATCTGTGATCATGGGCATGTTTTATCGTGCACTGCTTAGTTTAAGATCTTTGCTGTTTGCATATAAGATGTCTTCTTTAACAGTGGTGGAAATTAAATGTGCAAAATAAACAGGTTTGTGATTATTTTACAGTGCAGTCTTTATTCTGGACATCAAAGATTATCTCTGAGTGAAGGTCTTGAGCCACACCTCTGTATATTTGGCTAAAAAATTGGAAATATGTGGAGTGATTTATTGAAACATGTGCAAACACAGTATATTAGGAGTATATAAAGTTTGGGATCATTCTCATGCTAGAAAATGAAACTGTTGCCCATCAAATGCTTTCTAGATAGTAGTGCAAAGTGGATCAAAACCTTATGGTACTTTTTTACCTTCATGGTTTCATACATTTTTACAAGATCTCCAACACCACTGGCTGAAATGCAGGTCCAAACCATGACAGAGCCTCCGCCGTGTATTACAGATTGCTGTAGTTGTACCTGTTGTACCTCTCTGCTGACCTCCTCCGTAGATACTGATGATTTGAACCAAATATTTTCAATTTATGATTCATCACTTCCATAAGCATTGTGGTTAGCACTGTTGCCTCAGAGCATTTCTGTGTGGAGTTTGCATATCTGTAACTTAACCCCACAGCCCACAGGGGTACCCCTCTTCTAGTATCCTCTTAAGTATTGTGCTATTCATAATTTTTAAATTATACAGAATTTAATTCCTCTCGTGGCTAATGCCAGAATTATTTTGTTTTTTTAGTGATAATAATACATTTCCCAAATCCTCCTGGAAAAAATAAATATCAACTCAAATAGTATCTATCCATCATCTACCCATTGCTCTTACCTACTTTTCTAGTTTGGGGTAGCAAGGGGCTCAAACACATCTCAGCTGTCACAGGGAAAGAAGCAGGGCACACTTTGGACTGGTTGCCAGTCCATCACACGGCCAACACAGAGAGAGGCAGATAACCATTCATGCTCACATTTACACCAATTAGCCTAACAAGCATGCCTTCGGACTGTGGGAGGAAGCCAGGGTACCAGGGGAGAACCCACAGGCACAGGGAGAACATTCAAACTCAAACAGAAGGGCCACAGCTGGCCGGTGGTTTCTATAACCATGAACCCTCTAATTTACTACAGAATATTGTAAGCAAAAAAATATTTTGAGTGAATTAACCATATTTATTTCTACTTGTTAAATTTCTCAGTGTGAAAAAAAAATATGACAAGAACCGGCTTATGTCAATGACAAGACCTGATACATAAATTTAGAAAGTAAATTAAACGCAGGAGGAGATTTTTGGTTTATAAAACTCAGACACCTAGGGAGATACAACAGTTTAGTAAGAGTACAATAAACTTATAGCAAAGAAAAATAATATTAATTAGAAATACTACAGGTTTTTATAAGCGCAGTCACATTTCCCCACTGTAATTTCTTAGACTTTGTTGAGTCTTGTTCCGGTAATCACTGTGTGATTCATAGTTCTGATTTGTGTTTCCCAGACATGACAGAAGCACAGGAAGTAACTGCAGCCACTAGAAGACGGAATGACAGCAGGAGAGGAAGGGACAGAGAAAAGAAGCGAGAGAGAGGGAGCGTGAGGTGGTGTTAGGGGAAGACAAGCACTCGTGGGGGTCCCAGCTTTTAAATAATTCAGAGAGAGACTCACAGCACTCAGTGAGGGGAGGAGCACTGTCAGGTCAGCTCATTTCGCTGCAAAGCAGAGGTGGGGGGGGGGACGGAGACGACTGTACAGCAGAGGGAGGGAGGAAGAGTGTATAAAGATAGCATGAGAGAGAAAGACATGTAGAGGACTGTGGAAGAGTTTGCTATTGTGTGCATTTATGCATGAGTGTGTGTTTTGTGCACGTGTGTTCACCTGTGTGTATGTGTGCTTCAGTGACAAAAATAGACAAAACGAAGGAGAAACAGGTCGCTTCCTCCTGGAGCTTTCTGGTTTCTCTGAGTCACTATGGCAACCGCCTCCTCCCTCCATCCCATACTTCTGTTTACTTGGCTTTTGTGTTCTCCCACGCTCTTTTGACTTCCTTCCTATACCCCTCCTATTTTTTTTATTATTTGCTGGAGTCCCATTGCCCTTCATCGCCCCATTCAGTTATCATCAGATTGTGAGTCTTTCTCAATGCCTGGACGCATTTGTTTCTTAACTTCCATTTCCAACTTCATTATGTGCAGCTCAAACATGTAAGAGTGGCCTAAAGGGTAGAGAAGAAGGGCACACAGAAGCTTCAACTTTCAGACTACAGACCATCCTGGGGAGCCTGTGTGAGGATAGGGATAGATGTGGGGTGTGGCAGATACCAGAGCATCAAATTAACACACACACACACACACACATACACCAGTCAGATTTCTTATGATTTATATTTACAGTTAATATTTTCAATATAAGCAAAGGCAATGTAATCACATTTATAGCTTATGTTTAATTATCACAGCTACCACCTCCACAAATATTTGACCTGGAACTTTAATTAAACATAAAAATCCCATTAAGTTTGACAAGGTTACTATAAAGTCAGACTGAGCAGCGCTCACACCCTAGGAGTGCTTATTATTACATTATGGTGATGTGTGACTTTGTGCGGGGAACACACTGGCATCTCTAACTGAGATACGGAGTCTCAGAGGTATGCCACATCCTCTCCTCCCGTCTCCCCCACCCTGCTCCTCTGCGCTCCCCCCCTCACCCGCCCCCGCCTTTCCAGCGCGTCGCATCGCTGAGCAACGTTCAGCACGGACAGCCAACACAACTCAACCGAGCGCAGAGCTTACCTGGCTCCGCCGAGATATTTATATTTTCCCCTGAAAAGGAAGGAGTGTGGACCGCCGGAAAGCCCTGACGTCACCATGACAGGTAGACAGTAAAGAAAGGTTTGGGTCGTGAGGAGGAGAGGGAGTTAACACTGCGGGCGTGCTTGAGGTGGCCTCTCCATCCCGGTGAACACCTTTCCGGGCTCGGAGCGCGCTCGGACGCACGTTTGACGATGGACGGCTGGCCGCCGCTGCTGCTGCTGGCTCTCCTCGCCATTGCGGGAGGTGAGTAGCCTACCTTGTCCACATAATGGCTCCATCGAAGCTCTTGTGCGTCACCCTCATAGGGCAATAAAACACCGCGCGTCTGTGCATTAAGGGAATCCGAAAAGGTTTCTTCAAAGTAATGAAGGAGTGAATGCAATAAAAAAAAGGACTGGTTAGACGCTAGGGAGAGGCAGAGGTGGAGAAAGCGACTCTTTCACTGCTGTGTCACCATCTTTCTTTAAAACAGCAGCGAGCGCGACGGAATGATGTAGTGGAGAAATATTACCCACTCCATAGAGCACAATGAAAATACATTAGCAAGTGTAAAGAGGGAAAACACTTGCATCGTAAGCATATAAAATACAAGATATATTTAACCTGAGATTCTGTTGGGGTTCATATAATGCGTTTAGGGACGTGTGTGATGTTCTTCTATGGAATTACTGCTATTTCAGTGTTGAGTGTGCGGGAGTTAGTCACATTTTGGTAGATCAGATGAAAATGATACGTATTAAAAGACTTAAATCAAACTTATAATCTTTTCTACTGAAAATAAAACATGTGATAAACATACACATGAGAAATTTACCAGCCTACTGCAACAGCTAAACCACTGTGGCATCTGTTAGCATATTCCTTCTAATTAATTGAGAGAGAAATAAATTATCTTATCACTCACTCTCCTTCTCTCTCATTAACACTGAGGTCTTGCATTGAGTGGGCAGGTTAATAAGAGATATGTTGGGCTAAAACAACTTCTTCTTCCTGTCATCAAAGGGCAAATGATGTGTCATCAGGCTGCACAGGGAAAGCCTTCTGTTTTTGCACAACAGCTTAGATGGATAAACTTATTGTTATGGGGCGCATGCATTGGGTGGTTATCTTATTTATGGCTCTCGCAGCACATTTAAAGTAAATACTGTAAGCTGTTAGGTTGTTTGGACATATTTTACCTCTGTAAGTTGGCTTTATTTTGGTGTCGCTCCAACACATCCGCTCAGTGGCTGAATTATGACTGCCTTAAGATTTTGTAACCTATCTACAGCAGAGGATAGAGCAGAGGCCAGCTCAGCAGCTCAGAGCAAGGCTGCCTGTGCAGCAACACACACAGCACACACCTCTGTCCACTCACGCGCATGCACACGCTTGGCCATCTGCCTTGCACTGACTAACCGTTCATCATCACCAAGGGCGAAAACATGCTGCTTTGACTCCTCTTTTACACCCTCCCCCAAAAAAAGACAGCTTTACACCCATAGTTCATCACGCTGCATCCAGAGGAAATGACGAAGACAGATAGTATGAGATAAAGTGCTTCAACCAACATTAACCTGCCACTTATCACATCAAGCACCGGTTGCAGACGTCCCCACCGCGCACACAGCAAACATACATCGTGTTTGGTTTTGGTAAAAAATAGCAGCTGTATACTAGTTAAAGCATCAGTTTAAGATTATATGGAAACAACATTTAATGCTCGATTTTGTTAGCAAAAATACGAAATCTAAAGTCTTTAGAGACATACAATAAAATGAAGATAACTAAAGAACATGAAAATAATCAAAAAATATCAGGAGTAACATTCATTTAATAACAGACTTTGTTTTACAGTGAAAATAATGAGTTCCAGTGAAAATCTATCAAGCTAAATGCCAATAAAAGCCTGAATAGAGCTAATTATTAAAATATCAAATGTCAAAGGACATGCTTTTTTGTATGAAGCTGGTGTAAATTTGCACAATATTCAATTCTTGCCCTATATTCGGTTCAAATAGAGGTGTTTGCACTAAAAAGGAAATGCCAACATGAAATATCACTTTAAGGAGCCTCATAAGCTGTGGAGTACTAATGAGTCATCTTCCCTTAAGGGAGAAAATCTGATTAGCATCATCCTCAGAGACTATAAACTCTGTCCACACACAAGCACACGCAAACACATGTTTGAAGAAAAATGCACACTGGGCACATATAAACACACACACACACACACACACCTGGAGCTTATAAGGCGTTTAAGAAGTTTCCTACAAGCGAGCAAGCAAAAACACACAAATGTTAAATACTTAGGAAACACAACCTTTCTCTAGTTTGAGGCTTACGTGTTGATTTCGGTGTTCTTATTTAGTCATGTTTGTGCTTGATTGTAATGTTCACGTCATGTAAGAGGCGAAGAAGGCAAGAGACATGTGAGAGAATCCATGCATTTCCCACAACAAAAATAGCCGGCATAAAAAAAAAAGGTGGTGATCGAATGAAGAGGAGAAAAGTCATAGGTTTACACCTCCAGAGCCACGGCATCATTTACTTACATAAGCATCCACACACACACACACACACACACGGAGGAGCCTTGTATTGAGTGGCTGTGCAAGGACGCTCAAGGACATTTCACCACCTGTCTAAGAGGCTGCCGTGAGGATTTGGCCATCTCGCTGTGTGAGGAGGATGTCTCTTGTCATTTCCCCAACAGGCCATGCATAATAAAAAGAGTCTGTGGGGCTGAGCTGACCTAATGCAGGGGTTACTGGATATGGAGCAGAGTCTGCGACACTCTCATCAGCCAGAGATGTAAAGTGTACTTAAATTAGTTTTTCTACAACACCCCCAGTCTCTGCATCTTAAAAGATATTTTAATGAGTGCATGCATACGCTGGAACGGCAGTCCTCTGCTATGTGTGAATGCACATCAGCAAATCATCTCTGTGCTAGCGCTACAGTCTAGAAAGTTCTGCTCCTTTACTTTAGTCTGTCATCACTTTTTTTTTTTGGTGCACTGATTTTCCTCATCTGATCTTTGCAGAATCTCATTGTTCACATGACAGCAGCCCTCCTATCGTCTCGCTCAACCTCGCTTTCTCTTTCCGCGCTTTATCTCGCTTGCTTATTTTCTCTGTCTCTATCTCGTTGGACCGACTCCCAATACACAGCAGCAACAGGATCAGATCAGCGGGTAGGGGCAGCATCTGTGATTAAAAAATGTGCAGCGGATTCACCGCACAGGCCTGCACTCGCATGTGAGAGTGTGTGTGATTCCATGTGTAAAACCCTGTGCTCTCATGTGTGATTTGTGGAAGATTGTGTGTGTGTGTGTTTATGTGAATGAATGTGCAGCAGTAGTAGCGAGAGCAGCAGCAGCACACAGCAGTGTGGCCCGGGAGATTAAAGGGAAGCAAAGGGAGAGCACAGAGGTTTAATAGAAACTTAAGCAGCAGAGAAGAAGAGGCAGATAAGAGACGTTTGGAAAGTTAAGAGTTTTAAATCTGACCTTGTCTAAGAATATTTAAAAAAATAAAGGTGGACTTAAATCGAGGCAGGTCTGTGCTTACCTTGCACTGATACAGCTTTTTGTAGAAGTGCATTCAAGATAACGCACACCTTTCAATAAAATCAAGTATAAGAGATGGAAAAGACTTTCTAACTTCAACAAAATGCGACATCAAGAGTTATGTCGAATCATTTTTGCAGTCAGTCCTCTTGTTGTTATCTATTCATGGGCACATTTTGGCTGCAGGCGCTGACCTGGTGCAAGCGTGGCCTCGCGATTTATGAGTATCTAAACGACAGTGCAAATAATAGCTGCGACGAGAGGCATAATGCATTTCAAGTGATGCATTTTATTGCAGCCCCTGAAATAGGCACCGCTGTTAGAAGGCCATATCCTGTCATCCAGCAGCTGAGCTCCATGCGTTTTAATAAACAAATGAAAGCTATTACTGCTTATTTACAGTATGATTTCTGGATGAGTTAAACTGCAGCCTCTGACGACGATGCTTTGCAGCCTTCATTATTCTAAACTATTTTAGCATATTCTCCTCAAATTTCCCTTGATGTGACTTCAAAATGAATGAAACACTTTCCACAGCAGCAATATATTCTGTTTTGTCCCAGTGATTCACTGAGCTAATATCACTCATGCACCTATATATTAGAAAAATTCAAACCTAAGATGTCATTTTAATAGCTCTAGCATATAGCTAGAATATTTATGGCATTTGTAGCAACAACAGTCTATCTATAAATCTAAATATGGGCGTATATCTATGTATCCATGATACACGGACACAGTTGTTTTAAATGTGTCAACAAATTAAATAGCTGTGTTGATCTGTGCATGGTTTTCTCTTAGTATTTATCCAGGTTCCAACTAATTTGTTTAAAAATTAATGTTTAAAAATGAACTCAGATTAAACAAATGGTTCTTGGGTAAATAATTGAATTTATGTCAGATTATCATTTTGGCTTCCAGTGATTATAAAAACAAAATAAATGAAAGAAAACAGCTGTTATCGTGTTCCTGTTTTTGTTTTGTGACATGCACTCACCTGTTTATTGGGCACACCTGTTCAGCTGCTTGCTATAGCTCGCATGGAGACGACCTGCTGAAGTTCAAACTGAGCATCAGAAGGAGGAAGAAAGGTGATTTGGCATGGTTGTTGGTGTCAGACAGGCTCGTCTCAGTGCTTCAGAAACAACAACAACAATCTGCTGGGATTTTCCCACATAACTATCTCTAGACCTTACAGAGGAAGTTCTGTAAAGAAAATATACCATGAGCTGCAGTTTTCTGCGTGAAAATGTCTTCTTGATGTCAGAGGAGAATGACCAGACTGGTTTGAACTGATGGGAAGGCAACAGTAACTCAAATAAATACTTTTTGATTAAATTAAATTCAGTTTTATTATATATAGTGCCTCAAGCCACTTTATATTCTAATGTAAAGACCCTACAATAACACAATATAAGCTTGTAATGCAATTACCACCAAGATACGCAGGAGAATATCTCTGAACTCACAACACATCAAACGTAAACAGATTGGCTACACCAGCAGGAGACCACACCATGTGCCACTCCAGTCAGCTAAAGACAAAAATCAGGTGTGATGCATCTCAGTTTCTGCTGCAACGCTCAGATTTTCAGATGTTAAGGTCACAAACAATATGAAGACGTGTTGTTTACACCAAATCCTGCCGTGTAGTGATGGCTCGTTATAGTGGTGCATTGTTGCCCCTCCCTAAAATCCAAACACGCTCGCAGCCAAGTCCTGGCAGGTTTCATTTAGCTCAAGCCAGGATCCTGCAAAGAAAAGTTTTGGTCAAATTAAATCGTCTCTAGAAACTATCTGATTTCAAGACGTCACGCTGTGAAGCAACAGCAAATACTGTGCATGGTTTGTCACTTGTTTTAAAACAGGTCTTTATTCATTACTGCATGTTTACAAAGTCAGTCACTGATCTAACCATATAACTAAGATCTAAACGCTGGTCAAAAATAAATCATGATTATGATCTTTACCATATCTGTGGATCTATTAAATAAAAGGTTGAAAAAAAAATTCCTTTAAAAAAAGCTGTTTTTTTTAAATTAATAACATGTGATGATCAAAGATTTAATGTATCAACTAATGTTTCAGCTCTAATAATAGAACAACATGCTGGAGTGATTTGTTAGTGCTTTCTGCAAAAAAATGAAAAACCTCCGTGGTTATTAAAACACAACAAACTCGACTGACTTTACATCTTTGTGCGCAGCGTGGAAAGACAATAAAGCTTCATGCTGCAGTTAGCCCACAGTGGAATGCCTCTGTTTTTGTGCTCTGATATTGCAACTAGATGGAGGATCAATATTAATATCTCAGTTCTATGGCCACTACAGAGCCAATTGGGTGTTGCCAGTACATCAGTGGATCTCTCCATTATTGACTTAAGAATATTTCAGCATAAAAGGTTTCAGCTGCAGCCAAAAAACCTCTTTAGCCGTCGACAGAAAGGAGGGCAGAAAATGACCCCAGTTTCCCTCCAACCTTTTCTCATTTGAGCGAGCTGTATAAATAGAGATCATCACTGTAACAGTCTTAGTGGGATAATTCAATTTAGATCTCGCCTCGCCTTCATTTTCTCCACGTTTGTCTTTACAGCGTGTACTCTAGTCTCTAAGCAGCATTAGAAATTATAACCCGATGCTGTCAAAAGTAAAGCTTTTAGAAACAAGTTGTTGGGGACACAAAAGGTCCGTCAGCACGCTAAGATTAATGGCTATTTTTAAGGACGAACGGATTGAAGGGGCAGACATAGCTATAAAGCAATCTGACCTAATGGCTACCATCTTGTCTCTTCCGGTCCTCCTGTCACGGAAGCGTGTGTGTGTTTGCGTGTTTGCATGTGCATGGTGATGTGTAACTTCCCTAGCTTACGGGTCTAATGGGGAGCCCTGCTGAAATATTCATAATGTCACATTAAGTTTGCAATATCTGCTCTGGAAAACAAATATAAAGCCACCTGAACTACCAACAACATTAGAGCCCCTCAGTTCAGCCTTTAGCATGTGGAGACAGAGGCACATCAGTCTGTGGTTAGTAGCATTATTTGAGTGTTGAAGATGAGCGGCCGAGTTAATGTGTTTGCACAGTGAGCAGGCTCGAGTGTGTGCGTAGTTTTACATAAAAAAAAAAAAAAACGAGATAAGAAAAAATGAATCTTTCTGCCTGATTAGTTGCAGTGCCATAAAATATTGGTGTATCCTGAGCCCATGCTCATTTTTGTTTAGTTATTTTAAGCTATTTCTGTAGTAAATGCTCTAGTTCATGAAGAAGTGGTAAAACATGGCGTGCTGAAAGTGTTGTGGTATCTATCTAAATTAAGTACATGAGGCAAAAACAGAGTTTGTACAAATCAATATTTGGTATGAATACCTTTATTCTTAAACACAGCCTGAAGTCTCTTAGCCAATCTTCAGGAAAAGTTCTCCAGGCTTCTTGAAAGACCTTCAAAGCTCCTCTGCACATAGTGATGATCATTTTAGGTTAGTGTTAAGTGGCTTAATAAATGTAAAAAAACATCTTCTAAAAATGCTCAGGTATAAGGACTGGACTTAAATGAATGAAAAAGAGAAACATTGAAAGATCTTCAGAAAGCCTGGAGAACTTTTGCTCATGAGTGCTTTAAAGATTACGAGAAAGTCTGGCTCTACTGAAGCAAAATACAAAGAAATGCGGGACTTAAGACTTTTGCATTTTTAAGTGCAAAGATGCTTTAAGATAATTAATTACATTTTGTCTATTTTACTACATAGTACTTTTATAGTAAGCAGAAATCTTTCATTTACACGTATGAGCATGGTTGAATGAACCGTGCTCTTCTTTTTTTTCCTCTGCCAGTCTGGCTTCCTGTCTCATCCAACAGTGTTATTGCCTTGTGCTTCCGGGAATAATATACATTACTCATATGGTTCTGACACAGACAGCAATGCTTATTTCCCTGCTGAATGTGTGTCCACAAAATGGCACACATGCACGCATAGAAAAAAAAAAAGCCAGCACTTGTGCACAATAAAGTACAACACTCATGCTGACAGGACTTGTATTGATGATGCTGATTTAGCGAAGGAAAGGGCAATAAATGTACACTGGCTGTCAGCGACAGCGAGATGGAGATAACAAACAGGATGGGAGAAGAAACGGGCTGACTGGGATGATGAAAAAGATGGTAAAAGTGTTAAGGAAAATGTGATGACAGAGAAAGAGCAGAAGATTAAAAAATAGGGGATGTGGGAGCGAGGGATTGCATCAAGAGGTCACGGGGTATGAATAGAGTCCTTATTGATCCAGAGATAGAGGCTATCATTCCTGTTCAGTGAACACAGCAGTGCTACAGGGCAAAGAGGGAGGGGAGGGTGGCGGCAGGGGATAAATAGAGGAGGAGGACAGAGTGTCACAGAGGAGCTCGGAAACATTCAGAAGAAGTTTGGTACGTCTTCTTTCCATTTCTGTATTTTAATTTACCTTTTGAGCTCTCATGTTGCAGTGCAAGCATCAAAATCAGACCAAATAAATATTGTTTTAAAGTTTTTTAAATACAGTTTTTGTGGTTTCTTTATTGGCAGTGACTTCCATTCCTCCATAGCCCTGTATAAAACAGTTCTTTTATTTTCGCTGATTCTTGCTATGGGTAATAAACAGTGTCCTGTGTGGGAAAATGTTTATCTCTATCTGCGCTAAAGTACAATTTTTTAAAACAAAAAGACTGAAATCTTTTAAGCTGTACCAACTGAACTCTAACAGTTGTTAATTAATTCAAATTTGATTTATTTTTGTGCAGATTCATGGAGAAATTGAGAGTCTAAGCTCTTTGTATACTTTTTAATATCATTGTGTTCATTAAAAAGAAATAATTTTACCTACATCAGCTTTCACGCGTTTGTTTTCCTGCAATGTTAACGGCCTTTAAAAGAGAGTATGACAACATCGGTACAGTTAGCAGCCTGTGTTTATCTTCAGGGGTGGAGCGTGAGGGTGAAAAGACGCAGCGCAGGGATGAGCAGATGCCAGAGAGACAGGGAGTGAAAAGCAGGAGGGAATGAGGAAGGAAGCAGGAGGTGCAGAACAGTTGTTTTTCTCAGTGCATCACTCTCTCAGCGAAAAAAACCCCCCGGAAAACCCTCCCCTCCTGTGTGTGGTGTTGTGACAGCTCTGCCTAAATTCAACCACTCACACAGATAAGACTACAGTCTGCTACAGATGGAGGGATGGGAGGGGGAAGAGACAGGGGAAAGGACGCGAGAGACTGAGTGAAAATAACCCAGAGCTACAAAAGAGTGGCAGTTGGGGAGAAGTGCAGCAGGGCAGAGGAGAATACATAGAGACAGAGCAGCGGGACGAAGTGTGTGATAGAGACAGGAAGGAGAGCGATAGAGACATACAGAGTGGTTGACTCATTCTCGTGATGTCAGATCTTGTAAGATCTATGCATTGAGGTGTGCTGACGTCCTCCAGCCGCCGGTGATGAGCAATGTCACGGCTCAGGCCGCGCGGCTCTCAACAGAAGCACCTACGACAAACAGCGGCACCACAGACTTCAAGCTCCAGTATGTTTGTATTGCAAATGCAATTTGATAAAACACCTTTTAAATAAGGCCAAGTGAGACACAGATGCCTGCAACTTTGGTGCTTCCTGATAGAGCCACACGATGATGGTGATGATGCGCTCTCATTACAGGCGGCCTTGGGGCAGACACAGAGGAGCGGTTGGTGGAGCATCTCCTAAACCCAGCGCATTATAACAAACTGATCCGTCCTGCGACTAACGGCTCTGAGCTGGTTACTGTGCAGCTGATGGTGTCTTTGGCCCAACTCATTAGTGTTGTGAGTATGGACACGTCTGGGATTGAATCTGTGTGCATGATTTAATGTGATTTTTAGAATTTAATTTGGATAATAGAACAAACAACATAAACACAAATGGTGATTCATGATCATGTTTTTCCCTCCTGGTAACCTAAACGCCAGAATCTTGATTTAAAACTCAAATTAAACATAATCACAGACAAACCAGCAACACTGAGCAGTATTTTAATATTGTGGCATTGCTTACGTGTACTTGTTACTCTCCACGACTGCAAACAAGCTTCAGACAAAGGGTAACGTTGCTTTTGTCTCGAGGCTGAAATTCTCTGCTCAGGTTTATTTGTTTTTTTTAATTTTTTTGTTGTAAATTTAACGGCTGCACGGCCGATGTTGCACATAAAGATGATTTATGGTGATGAGTTCTAGCCAGCATATATAAAAGCAGTTACAGGATTCCTTCTGTGGCGCGGGAGGAGCTCTCTAAAGAGAAATTAATCTTGAAGACATCATTAGGGTTATCTTTGGCCTCAGCTTGAAAACAACATTTATTTCCCCCCTATTACAAAACTGGGACATGGAGTTTGAAGGATGTTTTCTGAAGCTTGACCCTGTTTAAACATACTACAAATCAGGACACCTCATCCTCACTAAGTCTTTTACATACAAATAACAATGAGCCGCTTCTGAATAATTTCATGCAATAAAACTACAGCTTTTAATGTGAATGTGTTCCATTGCAGCATGAACGAGAGCAGGTGATGACCACCAATGTCTGGCTAACACAGGTGAGACTTTTGACTCCCCATCTGATCTAATCACTGCGTATCCAACATTATGCTACATGGAAAAAGAGAAGGCAGAAAGCTTAGTGAAATGCAGAGAAAACAATGAGTAAATATTTATTTTTAGGTGTGTTTTTTTCTTAGATTTCACAGTGTCGCAGCTAGGTCAGTGGACGTGAATCACAAACCGCGAGGGACTTGGACGGTAGTCATAAATGTGACTTAGATAAACACAAACACACACACACACATTGAAGGTTCCTCTCTCTAAAATATACTACTGTACGTGATGAATTTCATTGGATAATCAAATTCCTGAAGTGTTATCACACCAATAGTACACGATTCACGAGTTACGGATGCAGTTACTGGGGTGGAAAGATGCATTTTTCTTTTCCGTGTTGTTGCTGTTTCTGGATAGCTGAGTATGACCCTGCCAGAAATCATGTAGAGCTTCAGTTCAGACAAAAGTCGACAGGACTGGTGAAGAGAGACATCAAAAAAGAGAGTCATGCTCGTCCTCAAACACAATCCAGAAGAAGAAAAATAAGAGATGGGAATTTACCAGAGAGTGAGAAATGTACAGAAAGACATTTCTGAAGCTGAACTCATGTTTCTGCGCTAATGTTGTGATTTTTGATGTTCTGTAAAGTCATACGTGACCTCTTATAGCTGAGGTATATAGATATTTGGGCTTAATACTTAATAATTTATTCAACAACATAAACATATTCTAGATATTCAGACAAATGACCAAAGACTGGCTTAAGCTGAGATTCACAAACCTAAAAACTTTGAAAAAAAAAACAACAACAAAAAAAAAACAAAACAGCAAAGATGGGGTGTAAATAAATAATAAAAAAAATCCAAGGATTTAAACTCTTTGTTTCTCTACAAAATTGTAACTGTGATGTGCTGATAAGCAGCAGGACTGTAATCTATTTCTATAGCTCTAAGGATGCACATTCATTTCCCAAAAGAGTTTTTTTTTTTTTAAGATCACAGGATATTTTTCTTTAGTCTTACTCTTCTTATCTTTAGTGAGCTCTTGTCCAGAGAAGCCATCTTTGTTTCTGGATCTTTTTTAAATATGTCTGCAGTGGAGTCAGTGCAGTGAATATTGCATAATACTGTTTTTTGTCCTTGTCCCCTGAGTATAGAGATTTCCCTCAGATTCTCTGAATCTTTCATTGATTTGATCTGCTGTAGACGATGAATTCCACAAATTATTTCCAATTCTGCACAAAAATATTTTATATTGTAAAACTCTTTGGCCACATAGTCTTACTAGGAGTTGTGAACCCCTTCCCATCTTTCCTTCAGAAAGACTCAGCCACGCTAGGATGATTTTGTATACTCAATGAAATTCTTCTGTTTAGAAAACGGTACAATGTGGCCATTGTTGATGGTGTATATATTCTGAACAAAAGGTCAAGTTTTGAATACCTGGTCAGGGCATGCAAGGCAGATAGCTAAAGCCATAGGTCAGGTGTTGAAGGACGAGGACATATTGATGAGAAGTGGGCATGTGGACATGGAGTATATGGCACAGCATACACTGAAAGACACAAACAAGTGGCTGGGATAGTGTGTAGGAACATCTGTTTCCCAAGTCCCAATGGGAGACACCACCAAAGGTGGGTAAAAAAACCCAAAAAACCAACAGGCTAAGGTCCTTAGGGATTTCAAGTTCCAGTCAGACAAGCAGCTGCTGGCTAACCAACTAGACGTAGTGCTGGTTGACAAGGAGCAGAAGACCACAGTTGTGATAGGTGCGGTGTTCCCACCGGACAGCAACATCAGAAAGAAGGAGCCAGAGAATAGAGAAGTGCCAAGGGCTGGAGGAACAACTGGAGCAGATGTGGAAGGTAAAGGCCAAAGTGGTCCCAGTTTTAATAGAAGGATTAGGAACTTCAAGCCAGAAACTGCAAGACTGGCTCCAACAAATTCCAGGCACAACATCAGAG